ATTATGATAGAAAACAGTTTTTCTTAAAAGATACTATGAAAAAGATTACACTTTAAATATTTTATATATTTCTTCATTTTACACTTTCAGATTTCCTATGAATCTACAAAAATCCACACTCTAATAACAATAGCCTTTTCGAAACAGGATGCGATTAGCTTTCTTTCCATTGTCTCACAGATACTCCACAAGATTAATGAGTTTCATGTATAAATCGCGGATGTACATTTATTGATGTTACCAAGGTTATTTGATAATCCAATGGAACCAAGATTATTTAATAATTTCCCAGAAAATCATCCATATCGTTCCAGTAATTGCGAAAAAAGAAATCTTACGGTTAAACTAAAACTTCGAATATGATAGTTTCATATCCAATTTGCATCTTCTTCGGCTGTCACAGTGAACCCTTGCAAAACCCCATGAACACATTGCGTACTGCTAATGAGAAATCTCGTTTTTATATAAAGACTCTTAGCTATGCAACTTCGATAATTATCACAGCATTGAAAAAAATATAAAATTTCATTCGAATTGATTATCTATTTAAAATATATTACATAATAATAAGATATTTGAGTTTTTCTATGTATAGTGGTTGACCTCTCTGGAAATTGCCATCCGCGGAATTCAGTTTTCTGAAAATTATCCGGTATGCAATGTGCTGATTATACAGGAATTCGTGATGTGATTGATTTAAGAGATCGGCAGCTCGCCTCTAAGAGCAGATAATCAGTTTCGTGCGGTTCACCGCGTTTGTTCCAACCCTGTCTCGGCCGCTGCAAACACGGAAAAACATTGTTCGATCTCGTTATCGCGACTACCGAGCGAACGGTTTATCGTCTGCCCTCATTAATTTCAAGCAATAACGATCTCACTGATCTTCCTCATTTTCTGTCGCATAATTCCTAACAGCGTGCCGACAAAGCAGACGTTCCTCGTGTTGATAGATTTATGTGGGTACTTCGTGAAATCTCCCAACGATCCATCAGTTTGCTACTTCGACGTTCTGTTCGCTAATCACGTTTTACACAACCTTCCACAGATGGAGAAAATTTCCTAAGAACAGCATTTGTAAAGTCCGATTTTTTAGAATGGTGTAGGATAGATTTCTCACGATGTTTTAATGATGTAGTTTACAAAAAAATTGGGATAGAGGTTTCTGCTGTTTACATAATATTTGAACATTTTATGTTACATGTAAAACATTTGGTTTTCAATATTTTAGGGGTGATCCTGAATTTTCGGTTTCTTGGAATGCTTTTTCACATTTGTTTTGTATTCGTTAGGAATATTAACACTGTTTTTTAATGATGTAGATCTGTTGATATTTAACATTTAATATCTTTTTAATATTTGACTATTAATCATCTATGTGTCTCGGTTTCTTTCGCCGCAAGCTTATATTTATATTTGGAATATTATTGAAAAAATAGACATGCGTATATACGTTGATAACAAATTTCTGCTATCTCAAATTTAAAAAAGAAACTTCGGGAAAATGTGAACACGATTAAATCGAAAAAGTTTTATAATAGTAAAGACTTGGGATGAATTTAATAAATATCAGCAGTTTCTTAATCAAACATATCTAGAGCGAAAAATTTGAAAATTACGCAAGCTCAATGAAACTTCAACAAATCAAACTTCACATAAATATTATCCAGTTCACATTAATTAAAGGACAATAATATTTTCCACTTATAAATATTAACAAATTCCAATATAAAAACTTCAGGTATAAGAATTTAATTAAAATATACAATTTCGTTCGTTCTTGACAAACTTTGAATGATAAAATAATTTGCCAGCCTAATTTAGAAAAAATCATATGGCAAAGGGTTAATTATAAATGGACTCAGTTGCTACCTTCTCCTCGTGGACGTTACTTGTTACATTTCAGATCTATATATTGCTAGTTAATGGTTCTGAATTATTTGCAAAAAAAAGTTAATTGTCTGTAAAACTGAAAATGAAAATGTGGATACGATGCAATGACTAATAACGTAAGCGTTACGTGGTATCATTATCCGTTTTAGATAATTATTCATTTTTAACCCTTTAATTGTGGAGATTGTCTGCGAACGTCAGAACAATCTCGGTCGTTTGCATGATTGATCGACTGTGAAAGGAAGACAGAACAAACCCTGCTTGCACGTCGGCGCAAAGATATTTGATATGAGTCACACACTGATAAGTACTTAACGATTCTAATAAAAACTGTTACGGTTTTTCCCTATATTTGTATAAAAATTTTATCAATAAATTATTGAGGCTCTTCCGATGAAGCTGAGCCTAAACGAATTATCCTTCGGATAATCGTAAACTGCAGTTCGGGTAATTATAAGACGGTCACATCACGTATAATTAATAATACTACAAAGTATATCGTGTTTCGACTAATTTTTATCGATTTATCATTTCTATAATATTTTTACTATGATTTTTATTCAAAATTTTACTAATTTAATGGCATAATTGCCATAAACATATGACAAAAATAAAATCTTAGTAATGTTAATTAATTTACTAATTAGTATTTAAAAGTCGTTTGGTTTAGAAAAACCTTTGTTCTTATAATTTTTTCTTCGAGAACTGAATATACGTGTATATACTAGAAAGTTTTTATACATATTTTTGCATACCTTTAGTATGACAAGAATATTTTTAGAAGGGCATACTGTTCACTGTTGTCTATCATAGCAGTCATGGCGCTGCCCCATATCACAAATGCCTTAAAAATTGTTCCCACAATTACTTTCATTTGTTAGAAAGTAATGAATTTGATTAACATTCACTTTGTATTAAAAATCCATCTGCAACTTTTCCTATTCTGTCTCACACTTTAAAACATGTAAAATACTGTACTTCAAAAATTTAATACATATACCGTCGAGCGTTTTCAGTTCGATTATAAAAAAAAAAGAACAATTTAGTGCACTAATAGTTGTTATCACTGCATATGGACAACCATTAGCGAAAAACGTCTTGCGTCGATTTATTATTACGTCGTATTTGTATTCATTATATCCAAGTAAAAATATAAGGTTAAATTATAATAAACAATCAGTAGAAACTATACTGACGTAAGTAAATATACCTTCCAACAGATCTAAGAGTCATTAGTTACCGATGCAAACGTGAATTCATAAATGGTATCATTTGCGTTGTTTTAATCGATATATGGCACACAAATGTAACCAATTTTTTACACATCTCTGTCGTTTAACGTCATTTACTATAAATAAGCAACTATAAAATTCATGGCCATAATAGAATCCCTATTCTCTTTCTAAATTTGTAAAAAGAAAAATCAGTTGATCCCATACCCGAACCTAATGTTCTTACACATCCAGCGAGATGGCGAATGTTACATTGCTGACCGTCTATTTCGATCTAAAACTATCTTTCGTAAAAATAGAATTCAGACTTATTACACGTCACGGTTCTAAGGATACCGACTGAACAGTTTATCAAACCGGCACGTTTACCAAAGAGTGCCTAAACAAACGTAACCGAAAACACGAGTATACTGGTGACCGGTCATCAAAGTGTTAACCCTTAGCACTCTAAGTTAATTTGTAATCTATCAACAACTGCAACTAATTTTTATAGTATTCCTAACGAAAATGAGAAATGCAACATTTCTTCGATCTTTTATTCTCCTTCTCAGTGCAAAATTCGGATGTGTAGAAAATCTAATAATTTTAGGGTAGTTTCTTTAACATTCATTAAAATATTTAATATTATAACTGGTGCATTATTGGAGCCTACAGAGTTCAAAGAGTTAAAAGTGAAAACGGAATTAACTGGTCATTTGTACTTGTCTTTACCTTCCGATGTTTCACTTCCATCGGTAATTTACTCAAAATTCATGTGTCTAATTGAACCATAATATCTGCGACTATATAAACCATTCGCGTTTGTTGCAACAACATCATCATCGGCTTCATTCCGTATACAACTACCGTCCATCGATTACCAAATTTCTGTATCGTTTCCGGAATACTTAAGCACCCTCGCCGGCTCAATGTCCGTGGCTCTAGGTCGAGGGCTCTTTGGGACTGTCGTCGCGGAGACAGATATTGCCGCGTTCGCGTTGAAATTCATATTTCCGTCGATCTGCGGCTCGGGGCTGGACACCGTCTCAGGATAATTGATGCTCTCCTTCAACAACTCCTCCTGCAACTCCTCCGACGGCGATCTGGACATTTTCGACGACTTCTCCACATTACCGGAGAACTTCTTAATAAACATTATCGGGCTGTTCGCCATGCGATAGCTCTCGCTGCGCTTTACTTTCCTCTCGATTCTGTCCTCGCGCAGGCATTCAGATCTGTTCGTCGCATTGCTATCGGGACGCGTCTCGGAAATGCTCGGATCCAAAATGGCGTCTTTGTCATTCGAATTACAATCGTCACCGTGTTTCCCCGCATCCTTGACCTCCGAGTCCTTCTCCTCGCACTGGGACTCGAGTTTCGTCACTTTCCTACAGAAGTTCGGTGTGTCGAGATCGGACACCAGCAACTTCCTGCTCAACTTGGGCGTATTGCCGGTAGGCCTCAAGCTTTTCAGGCACAGAGCCGACTTCTCGAAGTCCAGCCGCAGATTCGTGGATCTGGACGAGGTCCTTGGTGCGTCCATTTTACTTATCGACCGACAGGCTCCCTGAGCCACGAGGCTGTCGCCGTCGATAACCGGAGGATGATTCTCGTCGCAAACGACAGAAGCTGCCAGCTTGCCGGTGTACGCTCTGTTAGAGGAGAACTTGGGTTTGCTAAGGTCTAAAAGTTTGTTACTCGGCGCCAGCGCTACGACAGTCCCGGTAGCCGTGTGACACGTGCCCTTGGCGGAGAGCAACGGGCTGCCGTCAGTGGTTGGGACCGTGCTCGCATCGTCGTTAGGATGAGTGTTGCCAGGGTGTGCGAATGATGCTTCTAATCTACCGACACAGCCAGTGCAATCTCGTTCGTCAGCGCTCGTACCAGAAGCCTTCTTACCTTCATCCTCCTGCATGTTCACGTAAGCGCCGCGGACTTGTCGGTGCGCTGTCGTCGGACTCGTGGGTCCCACCACGGTCGCCGGTGTTCTCACGTAGTCTGGACTGGTGGCGCGATCTGGGCTTCTCGCCGCTCGGATGATCAGCTTACCCAACTGCGGCGACGTGGGCGGCGTCAACTTCGTCGGACCGTCCACCGCGTCGTTGCTCTTCGTCACCGCTCGGATGTTCAGCGCCGCGCGGTGCAACAATGGCGACGGGCTCGGGGATACTCCTTCTCTCACGAATGGACCTGGATACGAATGCACGCGTGAAATATGAGCTGCTCATTAGCTGAATCGATTAACCCCTTGTCCTTTAATTTATTTCTTAACCCTTGGCAGTCCTATGTCGAGTATCGACATTCTATTTTATTGCAACCTCTACCTGTTTTAACAATTTTTTCTATACTTATTTCTAATATCACAATTGTACCATTTAAATGTAACATTTCAATGACTCCCAAATATTCTTGAATAAATAAATAGAGCGTCATATAGTATTAAGCTGAGTGAGGAACCAAGAGCACTTCCAACCGCAGAGAGTTAATTATGATCGATACAACTACTTTACCGTTAATAATTGATTAGGAAAAGAAAAGATTCTGATGCTTATTCTATGTCTATGTTTGCTCCAAATGATAACGATTGACAATAGAATATTAATATTTCATTTAGATTTAAAAGAAATAAATAACACTCAGATCTGTCAAATTCAGTTTAAAAGTTTCGTCACGAGTCTGACACGATACCGTAGGTCAAGGAGTTCCAGCTTCTTGAGTCTTTTAAGATTTTATCATTAAAGCGTTTCATTAGCTCTTAATTTTTAATATTTAACCCTTTGCACTCGAGAGGTGATTCTTAGTCATTATACAATTTTATATGCCAAAATCATGAAGTCTTATATATAATATTATGCTTCTCATAATCCATGAATATGTGAAATACTGAAGTAACTTTGTTTCTTAACTTATGTATATTCCATCATTGAATTCGTTTTAAAGGATGTCGTCTATAACTCATTGCAAACTGTTGAATATTTCTAGTGAAAGACTCCTTAGTGCAAAGGGTTAAAATGAATTTCATTTGGACTGGTACCACGAAGTAATCAAGTCTTTTCACCACGGAAACACAATAATAAAAATTACTTCAGGGATATACTGTTTTACGCATTTTACATACTCGTTGGGTTGGAGCTGTGTACTTCACTGGGACTTTAACAAATCAATACAGATACAACTATTGAATATTAATATTAACACATTGTTGACCGGTAATTTTACACAGAAGCTATCATAAAATGAAACAATCTAAAGCAACTTTAATATACTTTATTTGTACACAATAAATTGAAACTTTGGACGTATCTTTTATATAACTTTTACTATTTTGCTTTTGCAATATTCTATATTGCTCTGCATCTCAAAAATTGATATATCTAATGCAAGTGCAACCACGAGTTAACTCCTGACCGGTCAACAATGTGTTAAAATTCTTGAAACATCTAAATACTAATACTATCGTTCCATCAATGGCAATGGAAACACGACAAACAACCGAATAACAAAATGTACCTGGATTGAAAGTAGTGTGCGCTCCTTTTCTCCTCTTCAAACTATCAGACGTATAAACAACCTTGCCCTCTGAGTCTAACGTAACTCTGGCACCCTGCCTCTTCCTCTCCAAGGAAGAGGCAGGTTTTTTTGGTAACTCGCTTAAACTAACGTATTCGGCGTCCCTCTTGAATATATCGGAATTCGCGTACATAACTGGCGACCAAGCGGGAACCGTGTCCGAAGTAGCTCCTGACTCTTGCCGCTTGTCATTATTGTTCCTCACGTCGGCTATGGTCACATAGTCGCCGGAGTCTGCGTTCCCTTGTTCCTGCGCTGTGCTGCTCTTCGACACGTGCTTCCTGCCCGGAAGTACGCCGCGAAGTTTCCCTAGAACCCCGCTGAGAGGGCTGATCTTATTGTTACTGGACGTCTGTCCAGTCGTGACCTTGTCATTTGCCGGCGAAGGTAACATTTGGACCGTCGCGTAAAGGTTTTTGTCTTGTCCGTTGATCACCTCCATCTTGGAGGTACCAACTGTCGCTGACATTAGGACCGATCCCTCACTTTGGATGTCCGGTTTCCTGTTCTCGTTCTTCTTGCTCGTCTGTTCCGATTCTCGCGTCAGCTCGTCGTCGGAACCGGGCGGCGTGATCACGCACATGGACGGTATGCGACTAGTGTTGATCGCGGTTTTCGAGCGAATTCTTTCGACTCTCTCGCATCCTTCCAGATCGCTGGATTCGGAGTACTCGAACTCCGAGCAGGATCTTCCTGTGCACGCCGGACTCGAAGCGGACTCCACGGGAGAGGACGAGGTGTTGTGTCCGCTGTCAGGGGACTCGCCGCCATTTTGGTTTTGCCCGTGAACCTGTGGGCGAAGGAGCGTTCGATGAAATGTTTAGAATACAAATAAAAGTGCTGCAACCAAAAAACTTAACCACTCAATTCTATTACAAACTCTATATTCTTACAAGTACCATACAGTACTAAAAATGGTAATCCAAAAATCTAGAATCCTCACGAAGTGTGAAACGTGTAAAATATAAAAACATGAGAATTGATTCAAGCAACAAATTCACTTTACAGTCTCAAGCTACTCATAATTATTCGTCATTATCGATTCACAATAATAAATAATTTGTAATCGAATTAACTGACACAATTGCAAGGATTATCATCAGTAATGCGTAATCCGATTACACTTTGCCTAACTCTAAGGGAAACTTCAGATCGTCGTTCGCCATTGATTTCACGTGTGTAAGAAAACATCGTTCAACGAATATAAAATGAAAACCAATATAGAACCTTACCATAGCAACAACGGTAAGGCTGGACTTTCTTTCCGGCGGCGGTGGCGCTAATAACGCTGTACAAACTGTTCCCGCAGAGCTTGTCGTGGTCGATGTGGAGCCTCTTCCGAAAAGTTCATATTCGTTTTCCACGGTCGGCGAAGTTGTATCAGAACTGACGTCGTTGGACTTCGTTAACGGCGTCTGCACAACGTGCTCCTCTTCTCGTAGAGTTTTTAACCCAGAGTCAACGTGGAACGATGTATAATACCCTTCCGTGTCGCAAGAGTACACTGACGATGTCTCACCGTCATCGGAGAAAGGTACCACCGCGATATCCTGTATAATGTCGGGTGTCAGCGTACCCTCCGATGTGACGGAAGACGAAGCTGAGGTGTCTCGCCCCTTAAATCGCCTGACGTGACACAGAGAAGTGGAGGATGTTCCAATCGAGGCGGTTGTCGTGGACCTGGACATTAACAGTTTTCACGGTTAACACATTGTTGCCCGGCAATGTTACACAATAGGTAACCCATGTCACCGTTTATCATTCCGTAATTGAATATGAAAGTGGAACAATCTAAATAAAGTTCAATATACTTCGTTTATACATAATAAATTGAAATGAAACTTCGGACATATATTTAGATAACTTATTTTGCTTTTGCAATTTAATGCTATTTAATGTCACTGGTTATTCCGTAATTAACATTAGGTTTGCGGGTATTCATTGTGCAGTTTATTCTATTGTTCCTAGAAAAGTTGATATTCGTTTATTTAGATTTTGAAAATTATAGATTTAAAAATGGATAATTGGAATACATGTTCAAACCCGTCGAGACATTTACCAAATAATGTTTATAAAATTTAATGTGCGTCAAATTGACGCGTTCCGTAAACCTAGCGTTAAATACGAAACTGAAACGATCTAAATAAAACTTCAATATACTTTATTTATCTTACACATAATGAATTGAAATGAAACTTTGGATGTACCTGTTATATAACTTTGAATATTTTGTTTTTGCAGTATTTTATATTGCCCTGCGTTTCAACAATTATAATAGCTGATGCAAGTGCAATCACGAGTTATCTCGTGACCGGTCAACAACGTTTAGGCATGAAAGCACGAAAACTCGTGATCGGTCAACAATGTATTAATCAGTTAGCTGTTTTTGACGAGTATACCCGTCACGAAGAAATGGCAAGGTTTTGTGTTATAACTAATATACTCATCGAAAAATAGTTGACTGGTTAAGGGAATATTAATTTTCGAAACAACCAATTTTATAGGTATACGTTATTTGAATGAAAATCTTAGAAAAAGTTATTTACAGTAATGAATACGTACACATACCAGAATAAAGTACACACTTTTTAAAGAGATCGCAACAGCTAACTGGTTAAAGCGAAATTAGATGGTATCAAGCAACATCAACTCGCAAGGAGACGTTACAACTGGTGCGTCGGGAATTTTAACACTAGAACTACCAGATGGGTCAAAATTCCCTTCTTTTCATTCCTTGATTTTTTCTTTTGTTATTATTGAAAAGGTACGAATACCTCTTTGAAAAATGACTGAAGAAGCTGATTAAGTAATACCTAAACTGAAATATAATACAATACCTAAATTGAAATCTTCATAAATTCGCGCTTATAGCTTTTATAAAGACATTTTAGAAAGACAGTTTAAATGCTTGGTAGTTCTAGAGTTAATTAGCCTTTTTATGGTTAATAAGCTGACCGACCGTTTTTGTCAATACGCATTGTTTATAAATAGACCTAAACAGATAAAGGAAAAAGAAGCAAATATTGGCATGGTGATTAAAGTGCAGAATGAGATCGTTAATTACCCAACGCTGCATGAAATCAAAACGAATAGGAAAACAAGTAAAAGGAAAACCAGATAAATAAAGGAAAAGTAGTGTAGAAATTCAGAAGAAAAACACAAAAAAGAAAACTTCTATTGGAAAAAGCGATCGTATACGTGTCTGCTTATTTTTACTTTAAATTAATCACAAAAGTTTCAACATTTTTATTCAAATTCTCGACGCACCGACTGTAAGGTCTCTTTGTCAATTATATATTTCTAAGAGATCATTTCTGTTGATTCTATTCTCTGAATTAGCAAATCGCATTGAGTAACATAATCTAATCATTATTGGTGGACTGTTCTTCACAAAAAATGAGTAGATTGCTTTTCAATGTGATTTTATAAGAGTTATAAGCTATTGAAACGGCTTATTAATAGCAGCCCGACAAATAAAGTGTTCAGAAACAAAATCTCTGGCTGTAGAAAGTTATTTGACGAATTGATCGTTACCGCCCACTATGCTGAGTGTGGGGGCGGATTCTACTGCATTCAAAGATAACCCGCGAAGAACTATGGCCAAGCAGCCCTGTCAACTTCTGCAACACGTCGTGAAGTTTACGATTACGTGTCAGTGGTTATAGAGCTTGGCGCCAGGAAGCCGGGGAACGCATATTTTAACGAAACTGTAAAATCATGAGGCAACTTCTAGAACCCGATTCCTAAAATAAACTGTCAATAATTCAAATAATACATGCTTGAACTGTTCCAGTAAAGAATACGACTGTTCTTCAAGTATTTTCCATGTACATAAATGTATCTTTTTAAATAAATTATAAACGAAAATAAAAACCGTGAAATTCGAATATCACATAATTCAAACGTTTATTTAATATCGGCTCTCGAAATTCTAAGTTAGAATTTGTCGAGATAAAGTCTGACCAAGTATGGCTTATCCCTTCGCGCTCCTATATTTTATTTACAAGTGTGCTTCTTTGCTAAGATATTTTTAAAATAGATTACAATACTATGTTATTTTCAATATTATTGGCAAGAAGAATTGTTGACACTGCTCTCTACAAACTATCTGCTTCATAAAACGCATTTCAAATAAAATATCGTAATAATAGGATTATCGAGGACAAAATGCAAAAGAAATTCGGAGTAAAGGGTTAAAGTAAACAGGAAGGAACGTAAAACTGAGTGAAACAGGTTAGCCTAACACGTTGACTGCCACGTCGAACACCGATGACCGGAGCTTCCAAATTACTTGACAATAATTATCATTTGTCAGATAACTAATGTCGAATAGAAATATTTCATAGCATAAATTATTAGATAACAGTGTAACGTAAGCATTGTAATACCAAATAATTAGTAACTATTCCTTTTTACCTTTGCAACAAAAGAATAAGCGATACATAAAACTCAGAAGGTTTTCGTGGCAATCAATGCGTTAACCCCTTGCTCTACAACAAAGAGTGAGACAGGTGGTGAAGATTTTCAACATGACTCAACAATATATATATATATTATTTAGTTAATTCGAATTCAAAGTAAATATTCTTCCTCTGTAATCAACTATTATAATTAAAAGGAAATATAGGCATAACATATGCTTAGAATTTTCCTCTTTTTTCAATAAATTATTAATGGCAAAGTAGTCGTATCGATCAGAGTTCAGAAAGAAATCATAGGTGAAGGAGTTAAGCACGCAGTATAAAAATCTGTTGACATTTGCAAGTCCGAAACATGCGCACCTCGGTTGATGCGTGGTGGTGGTGGTCTCGCTGCCGATACTCGCCCTTCCGCTCTCCGAGGACGCACTCCAGTTTCCTGAGCTCGAGTGCGGCGGATCGTCACGGTTACTTCCTTTCCGTCTCTCCCTCCTTTGGATCGCGCTCTCGCGCAGTTTCACGCTCGGCTGTTTCTCCGTGGTCGGCACGGACACGGGTATACTCGAGATACTCTTCCCGCTCGAACTCGATGAGCTGGGCTTCCTCTCGTGCGACTTTTCCTTCCTGCGCCTACTCGTTACCATTTCGTAAATGTTCTTTTCTTCCGGCGACCTGGACTGCCCTTGTTCCGCTTCCGACGACGTGTTCGCGGTGGCACTGCTCGCCGGTCCCGGCGCTGCTTGATCCTGTTGCTGACTGGACTTCGGGCTGATCAACTTCAGCCGGGACATGCCCCACGCTTTCAGCGTGTTGAAGTGCGACTTCTTCTCCGTTGGCGATTCCTTCTTCGACGAGCCCAGGATGTCCGTGCTCGCCGACCGCTGCGTTCTCGACGCTATATTCGATATCGTTTCGTCCGCGTCCTCGCCGATCGTTTCTCTAGGAAATACAAGTTTGTTGTAGAACGTTAGGAATTGTTCGGAAAAACAGCACACTTTAGATGATCATAAAAATTCAATTTTATTATACTGATCATAAATAAAATAAATATGAAAAGTTGAATTCTACTGTAAATTGGTTTAACCCTTTGTAGTCGGAAGTATTTCGTTAGAAATACTTAACATTTTTTTAACTACACAAAGACGATATTTTTTGAAATTAACTCAAAGAGAAGGTGCAGTAAATTGAGAAAGCTTTTTCATTTCAACATCTTACACACCGATGCATTGTATACAGGTTAATATTAAATATCAAATTTTATAGTTTTACTGCATCAAATCAAGTGGTGATTGAGAGTCACCTCTCGAGTACAAAAGGTTATCATTTCCCGAAAGATAAATATAAGTTTACACCTGACAACATGGAAAATCAATCGAGTGCAAGGGGTTAATAGAATATTTCAATTGACAAGATTGCCATAGAAACATAATAATGGCAACAACGAACCTTAACACTAGAACTATCGTAACAGTCAAAATGACTGGTTTCGATTTGCTTATTTCATAATGACTGATACCTTAAAAGCATAGAATGTTCCAAATGATCTTGAAAAGAAATAGTTCCTCCTGAATACTATAATGACTGTCTGAAGAAACTAAAAATACTCTATTGTTACAATTTTTGTAGGGATTAAATATTAACTCTTAGTACCCCAGGTTGTTCTGTAATCTATCAGCAACTGCAACTAATTTTTATAATACTCCTAGCAAAAATTAGAAACGCTATATCATTTCTTCTATCTTTTATTTTCCTTCTTAGTACAAAATTCGGATGTGTGGAAAATTTAATAATTTTAGGGTAGGTTCTTTAAGATTCATTAAAATATTTAATATTATAACTGGTGAGATATTGGAACCTACAGAGTTCAAAGGGTTAATCGGTAGTTTTAGCGTTAAAACATATGATTTGACTTACCCGCCAATTGCCTGTCGTATTTCCTTTTGATCGGTACCAGCGATCGTGTTTCGTCTTTTCCCTCGAGGCCTGCGTAGTCGCGATCGTCTTTTCACAGCTGTCTCTTGATTTTCTGGACCAGACAACAAAGACCTCCTTCTCATTGACATTCTTTCGAATCCTCTTCCACTTACGTCCACCGCCACAATTTCTGCTGGGAATCTGCGACGAGAATTACACGCTTATTTTCATGACAAGATGGCGCAAATTGAAATCTACACGAAATTCAGACATGGACGAAATATAGCCTAACTTCTCAGCGCTAGACATCAGTTCAATGGATGTTGAAAAACGTATCTCTTTATTTTTCCTATTTCAGGTTTTCCTTTTACAACCTCTTTTGCCAATGATATTTTATACAGATCGATAGTCTTGTCACGTTACACGTGCTAGATGATTTTGAAATGTATCACTCTATACAAAATGATTTATAAACGAAAATAGAGGAGACGTTGTAGACTCTGTAGTCTCAAACGAAATGTTTATTCTGTTTTCCTTTGATATGGTACAATCGGAGAATTTACGTTGTTCGAATTATTTTATATATTTTCACAGAACTTAAATATCATTTTTGCTCCAATTTAGGAGACCATTTAGTCACTTAACCCTTTGCACTCGAGAGGCAACTCTCAGTCGCCATTTGATTGAACGCAGCAAAATTATCAAACGAAAAATTCAATATGAAATACGGAATAAGATATTAACACATGAAACAGAAATAAAACAATTCTGCCCCTTAATTTATACAAAATATTCTTTTATGTAAGTTACAAATAATATTGTTAAATATTTCATCAGAATATAATGAACTTTTATAATGAAAAATATTGTCGACTGCAAAGGGTTAACGTTTCAGTCAGTTTGCTTACACCTATATACAGGATGTCCCGCGACTCATGGCAATTAAATTAGAAAGTCATTCTACATGTAAAAATGAAGCGAAAAAATAGAATAAAATTTTTTCCTGCGAGTCTTCGTTACCGAGAAAATCGAGGTCGAAAATTTACTCGGTTTACTATACACTTTTCTTTTGATTCTTATTTGTATTTAAAGATATAGTAATGACCTCGGTCGATAGTTTATCGTTCGTGCTATTCTATCAGCGGTATAATTATTCAGTATCTAACAGTTCCTCAATATGGCAGCTTATTCGAATAGTGAGTATACGGATAGGATTCTCGCACTTGGAGAGTAATTTGATTGCCGCTTCGCGTTTGTACCAAGAGTGGTATCCGCACTTTGTCATTACTATGTCTTTAAATACAAATAAGAAACAAAACAAGAGTGTATAATGAGATGCACAAAGTCGACATGTACCGAGTAAATTTTCGACTTCGATTTCCTCGAAAACGAAGACTCGCGGGAAAAAATTTTATTCTATTTTTTCGACTCACTTTTATACGTAGAATGGCCTCCCAATCGGTTGACCGTGAGTCACGGGACACCCTGTATACAGTGAACGCCACTGTACGTGCTCGTATCCTTGAAGAGGTTAAGCAAGCAGAAATATCGTTCTTACTTGAGAGCGACAGCTTGAACCTGTTCTTCTGGGCTGGGAAGTTTGTGATCGACGGCATCGTCGTCCGTCGTATCTCCTAATATCCTAGACATACAATCCGGCGGTACAGTAACGTCCCCGAGTGCCTCCGTGGACGTCCATCTGCGTAGATCCTCGATAACGGCCGGCTATAACCGAGAATTATGCACGTCAAATGAAGACACGATCCCGTGTAGATAACACCTTAGCAATAGTTAACACACTGTCGACCGGTCATGAGCTAACTCGTGTTTCCATGCCCAAACGTTGTTGACTGGTCACGAGTTAACACGTGTTTGCACTTGCATTAGCCATTTCAATTTTTCAAACGCAGAGCAATATAAAATACTGCAAAAGCAAAATATTCGAGGTTATCTAAAAAATACGTCCAAAGTTTCATTTCAATTCATTACGTATAAGCAAAGTATATTGTTTCACTGGCATATGTAAATGCGGAATAATAACCGGTGATATGGGACAGCTTCTGAGTAAAGTTGCCAGTCAACAATCTGTTAACACGTCGAATACCATGGCGATCGCCGGTGACCCCAACCAAATCGAATTACTATAATAGATTTCACAGATTCCATGATTTCACGGCCTGGATTGTAATATTGAAACTTATCCGGTAGGAAAATGTTTTCAACGTTTCGCCGTCATTGCAGTTGGCTTCATCAGGTGGGTCAAAGACTCACTGATAATGGTGTGTGTCAAGAAAGACTATCTTTATATAAGTACAGTACAGCTCCGACGAGTTGACAGAGTACCTATAAGCTGAAAAGTCGGAGGCTCAGGGGGATTCTTCCATTCACGATGTTCTGGCCGCCTCGGTTTTCAACGCATGATCGTTATTGGCCGCACGTCAATAATAAAAGGCGGAAGCCAGATTAACACGTTCGCTACCAGCGCTTATTTCGCTGACGGTCTCCTTAATTATAATATTTTCTTCAATCCAATAAGTCTTTTAAGCAAAATATTAGAAAAATGAAACGAGTCATTGAGTTCCTAAATATAATGTTATAGTTTATAATTTCTAATAATAATGTCTATAGGATTAATTTCATTTTCATTATGTAAAATATAGGATTACGGCCGTTACAAACATGTGACGCTGGTAGCGAACGTGTTAACACTAGATCTAAAGAACGAGTCAATTTGGCTCATATCGAATTTTATAAGAATTATTTGGTAAATGTTCGGATCGACTTTCATTAACGCAGTTACGCACATTTGTATCCTAATTGTCTACTCTTAACCGTTTGGGTACCAGAGGTTTTTAAAAAAACACGGTTGAAAAAAGCCGAATGTTGAGCCGTGACGGCTTAATAGAGTCGACACATGCAGAGACTTAAGCTCTTTACAGCACGGGGCAAAAAACGGCTCTTATTGTTTAGTATTTTAACGGCACATCGCGGCAATACTCATTGGCATTTTGAAATCAAATTGCAAAACTTTCCTTTCACCCGCATGTGACAGCCAGCGACGGGTTGTAAATGCATATTTCTGAAGGGCGACCTAATGGTATCCTAAGGACACTCGGTACCTGGGGTTTGCCTGGAAGAAATTTGTATCCAAGCTAAAAACATAGTCTCTGCATGTCTTAGGTAGCACCCCACCCTCGTTAGACTAGGCGCGCCAAGGGCGCAGCGACGGTGGAGACAATTCGTTTCGAAAGCCCCTGATTGGGCTTGTCAATTTTGGTGATAACCAATCAGGGTGTTTTCTTAAATTTCGGAGCTGACGATCTGACTCGCAGATCGCCAGCGAAACAGACAACTCAAAACTTTCGAACGATACTCATCATACAAGCGCGTCTTAGTGTTCAGACATAATTGTACACACAAAAAATACAGTCCACTAACGAACAAGCAAGCGGTCTCATTTAATCAGCTCCAAGTAAGGACGCTGCTGTGAACGCCCAACACCGAACTTTTATTCTGTGTCGAGAAAAGCCAAGCAGCGCGACAGCGCTTGTCTTTATCTATGTTAATATTATTATATATATATGTTAATTTATAATAGGTAACGAAATTCAAAATGTATTACTTGGATTACTTATGTACAAAAAAAAGTAGCGATGCGACGTACATGCGCCTGAAAAGTTAAACGCGATTCACCAGATTGTCAGTGCTCCGTCAGTTGTCCGTATCGTTCAAATGTGCTGGGTTTTTTCGACATGAAATCTGAAGAGCACGAAAGCAGCGCGTGGGACTCAAATGGTTATACCTCTAATTCCTAAGATCAAAATGAACGGATAACAATGGAACAAACTGTACAGTAAATATCAGTAAATCTAGTGTTAACCTATTAAGATCCATGAAATTTTTTTTTCTGAATTTTTAGATGAAATTTTGTATTCCGAGTGTCCATATTATCTTGGAAAAATAGTGGAACATTTATTTTGTAATTCCAAGTTGCAAAAATGTTAACTTTGTCATTTCAAATTTTATAAATAATTTCTCGCGGTAGTGCAATCATAGACCACTTTGCAAATTTTCAAAACTTTAAATGAAGTATAAATTTTATCTGGAAATAACGCCTGATTCAATTTAGTCATTCTAAATACTAACTCATATTTATCCTAATCATTAGATACATTATTTATTAACAAATAAATTGTCTATAACAATTTAGAGTGAGTGATCTATGAATAGATTAAATGCGACGGAGTGAGATGTAACGATAGACAACGAAGTTAGCGGTACTGTAGGGATCTCACGTTAGTCAAGCTGGCCTGTAGCTCAAAAGTGAGGTGGGGTAAGGGTACTCTTCCACTCACAGAGCGTTGTGAATGGAAGAGTCCCCCTGCCCCTCTGAATATTCAGCTTGTGGGTAGTCTGCCAACTCGTCGGAGGTGCATTATACCTTGCTCATGTTCTGGATTATAGAGCACTATTAGTTTTTTCATTGAACAGCTGAACAATTAATACGTTGACTGCCACGAGAATTTCGAACGTTTTGTATAACAATACATATCCTTTCATAACAAAGGCACATGGTATTAGAAATAATTATTAATGACTTGGTATCACTACGTGTTACTAAGTATTTTTATTCAACATTAGTTTTCCCATTGTAATTGTATTTAAGCACCGTGGCAGTCAACGTGTTAACCCTTTGCGATCGGTGCAGCAATATGACGGCATGTTCTTTTTTTCTGAGTATAGTGTTATTTATTATTTCGAGAAGAATTTATATTCAACAAAACACATTAACTTCAAGAAATTTGTAATATTTGTATATTTATTATAAACAAGCTATAGAAAAATAACTTTGAAAATATCTATATAGTTGATTTAAGTAACTTTTAAATTAAACTAATTAAGTTCTTTCTTTCTATAATTAATTTAATGGAACGGTGATTATTTGAGAACATTGCTATATTATAAATAATGCTACCTAATGCGATGACAGTTAGCTAAACGAACGTGTAATAAGAATAATGCAATTCGATCAGACGATTTAATATTATGTTTCTTCCATTTTATATATTTCGCTCTACGAAACCGTGCGGCAATCAACGTGTCAAGCTAAATGGATACTAGACTACTAAGAAGGGAAGTGATCGAACCCGGAAACTCAAACAATTACGAAACTGCGTGTAACTAGAGTAAGTCGAGCCTATTACATTGCAATTTTTTCGTACTGAATTTCACTGTGAAAGGGTGAAACCATCAATTGAAAAAATGCAAATTCTTTCGCGTGGATTATTTTCAGAACGATAAGAGAATGAAAAAATATTTCAACAAAAAATACATTCTTCTTTCAGGTCTATAGAATTGCAAAATAAAATATTTCTGAAGGTTCAAATTTTTCAAAATACTCCCTCTCTACCAACTATTTTTTGATTTTTGACATTACTTTATGCTTACCCAACATTCATAAATGAATTTCCTCTTTGAAGTTAACAAAATTTATTTGCAGCAACTGGTAATTAGTCTATGATACTCTTGGAGTGATAAGGGTTAATGGAATAACATATTTTTTAGAGGTGCAGTCCACTAGATCATTCGACCTAATTAAGGGACTAATTCCAGGAAACCGGTCGCGCCAAGCGCCGAGGGTGCTACACAAGGATCGCAGTTTATGGTGGTATTGTCCAGCGGCTCGTGAGGTGGCTAACGGTACTGCGAAACCGATGTTATGCGGTGATGTACCCTCACCCGAGCATTCGCTTTTAGAACAATCCGCCGGCTTTTCCGAAACTTGAATAATTGCGTGAAAAGTGGAAACTGTTGTGGAGCAGAAAGATATATTATATGAATCTACATTATTCATCCTGAAACTACCGAGTAGTTAAATCGACTTCTTCAAATTCCTCTATAGGAACTCCATAGTGCATTTATCGAAACTTTAATTGATTTACGATTCGGCTTGTGTATCGCTGAATCAATTTCTTTAATAATTTCTCTGAGAAACATCTGTTATCTTTTTAATAATTGCGAAAAGGAGGAATCAGCAATAGGGAATCACTAATTTTACTTAGTGGATCCAATGCCGCGTATACGGCAAAAGTCTACAATCATAGAAGTACGAAAAAAAATATAAATATTTTACTTAACAGTGGAACTACGAAACGAATCGAATGGACCCTCCTAATTTTTCTTTTCCAATTAGTAACAGAATAACAGGTGCTTCTCGGAGAAATTGCTAAAGAAATTAATTCAGTAATATGCAAACTGAACCATAAGTCGAATGAAGTATCAATAACTGCATCGTGAGAGTTCCTATAAATAAATTTGAAACAGTCAATGATTGATCGGTAGTTTTAGTGTTAAATAACTGTTAAAATGACACTTTATTTTGATAGTCCAGTCCTACTTAACTTGATGGTTGTTGTGTTGAAAACTTCAAGCAATAAAGACAGAATAGCATAGAGATACGCGAATCCAATGTTCCATTTATGCCTACAACCCTTGCGAGTCACCCCTAGGGAACTCTTTCCCCCAGAAATAGCGTGGCGAGTGTAGATTCCACCTTGTAATGTGTCTGTCCACGGAAGTCAATCTGATACCTTTCCTATCTCCCATGTTGCCGCTCCATTAGAGAACTTTTGTACGTACGTACTGCGAGACAGTGTATTTGAAGTTAATCCTTTTACCATAATGCGCTCTATTGAAAGACCATGATACTGAGGTGTGTCACTGTA